TAAGACAACATGCATGAAGAGGATGATGTGGACAAAATACTCATTTGCCTAATAATTCTGCACTCCCTGTAGTTAAATGTGCAAGTTATCCTCTGACTGTTCTTTATGATGTACCCATGGCTAAGACATAAACAATTTACCTTTACTCTGTCTTCTCAGAAGGCTTTCTGACATTAATAGGAGGAAAGTGTTTGTGCCAATAGGTACATCAGTTTATTTCAGATTTGCATACAACTAAGTGTTGTTTTTCATGATTCTTCACATGCTGATAACTCCCATTACTCATCTTCTTTGGAAAGTTCTATTGAATTCTCCTTGTGTTTCATCTGAAAATAATAGAATCAGATTTATGCCTTTGTGCCTATATTCAGTAAGTTTCTGTTGTTGTTTTTTTTTGTTGTTTTGTTGTTTTTGTTTTTTTACAAAGTCTTTGAATTAATTTTAATTACCTCATCATATACATCATCATCATAGACAGCATAAAGGTTTGTGATACGTTTGATTTTCAAATCGAATTATTCAGCTGTAACATGACAAACTGTACAAAATGAAGGTGACAGAAAATCAAGATAAAAATATGGGAAAACAGATACAATGCAGTTTGAAACGTTTATTTTTTTCAGTAATTATTCTGTAACATTTTAATGGACTGATGGGATGTAACAATCTAAATCTGGATCCATGATCCTTATCCGTTCTGGATACATCTTGCAGTGCAAGTTGGCCCATACATCATTTGATGGTCCATTGTCATACCTGTGATACCTGCAGGTATCACACGTTCTGAGTAGAGCCACTGAGACTGATTTAGGTTTTCAGTGGAAAATATGTTGAGGTTCAGAATCAGAATTTCAGAAACTTAAAATGTTGTTTGACATAATTTAAAACTGAATCTCAATCTGTGAACTAATTTCAACATGAAATGTTCAGAACACGACCACGCTCTGTGCAGGCTGCATTTAAAAAGTATGTTTGAATTTAATTTAATTCCATTTTAAAATCATTTCAACCTTAACTTCACTCAAATATTCACATCATCTCCAAACCCCAACCATCAGAGACATCTTTCCAATAGTGTGAACAGTTAAAACACAACAAATAAGTGATCAGTAATCATCAAACTTTACATGGATGTTGTGTTTTTGTTTTGTTTATTGTGATTACAACAGTAACTTACAGTAAGTGTTTCCAGGGCAGGGAAGCTGGCAGACAGTGTGACAGCTGCTTTACAGTCCACATGGAGTGATAAGTATGAATGAGGAAATGAGGGTTCATAAACTCACTAATCTTGATTACTGGAATAATGGTTTGACTACAATGAGATAGTCAGAAGGGGAAGGGGGAATTTGAAATCAGAAGTTACAGTGGAAAAAAATAAGTTATGTATTAAATTTCTTTAAGAAAAAAAAAATTTCTTTAATTTAATACATAACTTATTTTTTTCCACTGTAACTTCTGATTTCAAATTCCCTCCCCTACTGACTTAACTAGCCCGGGCAAATTCACACATGTTGCGTTGCATGGTGCAAGCTTTTGTAAAAGACACATCAAGGTAAGTAACATTTCATTTACAAATAACAGTTCTACCAAAGCAAAACATTTGTGCTAGTCACCTGTAGTGGATTTGTGTATGATGTGATGCTCATACAGATAAGGAAATACTTTGCACTACCACATGTAGCTAATGCTAGCCATTCTAAACTTTAGCACAGCAGAGGATAAGACTTATAAAGTTTCATTTGACAAAAGTCTTCAGCTAGAGAGTGCAACTGTGGTTAGGAAAAGCATGGTTAAAGTTTTGCTACACAGTGCAATCTAATTTCGATCATAGGCTGATTTTGTTTTTCTTTTTACCAAAATTAGAAGCCTTTAAACTGTGAATAGTTTTGTCAGAGGGATAACCTAGAGGCTTCTTTTTTCCATCTGGCTCACCTATTTTATATCTTTATAAAACTTGCATGACCCATACGTAATATTACATTGATTTTGGTTAGTATTGTGATACAGCTTAAAGTAAGTATTGTTCTTGATCTTAAGAGCTGTAGCTATCTTTGTTTTTTGTTTTTTTTGTTTTTTTAAATCAGACTCTGTGAACTATTGTTAATGTCATTCCAATAGCATTATTCTGGCATGGGCTATGTGAATCTACTTAACATTAAGACTTTATGTAAGCAGTTAGTATAGTGTGATAATCTAGGGTCATTAGTGCTTTGTTAAGTTGGGACCAGAGATGGGCAGTAACGCGTTACTGTAATCTGATTACTTTTTTCAAGTAACGAGTAAAGTAAGGGATTACTATTGCAAAAACGGTAATTAGATTACCGTTACTTTCCCGTAGGAACGCTCGTTACTGCGTTACTAAAACCATGATTTTTTTGCGAGAATGTCTCATGACAGTGACGTAAGCGAGTGCGCCGTTAGTGACAACAGCTGTGTGCAGATCAACAATGGATCATATATCGATTGTGGGAGAGAGTATGAGCGTGCAGCGTTTAAAGCGTGGAAGTACTGACCTTACTTTGAGTTTGATTCCATAAAAAGTGACAAAAACATTAGCGACCATCGTGCGTGGGAAGAAAACTTCTTTTTACAGCGAAAAAACCCCCCTAAACAAGCGCCGAGTGCGCAACGACGTAATGGGAAACTCACAGAGAAACTCGCGGATTCTTCAACTGACCGCAGCACACCTGCACCAGGGTAAACCTCCGCCTACCCCAGTCCTGCATTACAGGTGAAAATAGAACAAAAGGACCGCTGAGTCTTTGACTTTATTTATTTTCTGCTGTGTTTTACTTGCATCTAGAATAGAATAGAATAGAATAGAATAGAATACTTTTATTTGTCAATTTCTTCAAATGTACTTGCCATACAAAGGAATTGAAATTACGTTTCACACTGTCCCATGCGTAGACATTGACAACAATAAGGTGCAGATGCACAACAAAAACAGCCCTAACAATAAGGTAATAAATAGTAATATAATAATATAAATAAATATATAAATAATATAAATAGTGCTAAAAGAAATACTAAAAATATATAGCAGCAGGTGTGTGTGCAATTGCAATGCAGAGGTAGTTTTATCACCTCTTCAGGTTGCAAATCGTGTTTTTAAAAAGTAACTAAGTAACTAAGTAACTAAGTAATTAATTACTTTTGAAAATAAGTAATCAGTAAAGTAACGGGATTACTTTTTTGGGGAAGTAATCAGTAATTAGTTACTGATTACTTTTTTCAAGTAACTTGACCAACACTGGTTGGGACACATTTTTTTACAAAATGGGCTGGGAGTGAACAATGGTTTAATTCTTCTCTTTCTGTGGTCTACAGATAAAGGAGGAGTTCAAGAGAATAACCACTGTAAGCCTTGAATAGCTACACTTGACCATTGCACCCCAAAACTGATGGATGTCATTTTATCAAGGGGAGGAGCTAAGGGAGTGAGAATCAGGCAGATCAAGGACATGCTTCTTGAGGTAGGACAACTATTTAGACTTTGGGTAGCTTTGAAATGCACTTTGTTGGCAGTCACCCATGTATTTTATACTCATACTTTATTTTTTCTTAAATAGCACAATACAATTGAAACACGCAGAGAAGTAGCCATCTGCTGCCTTATCACTTTCCTTGGCGAGAAGGAAGAGGACCTTTTCATGGAGTTCGGTATAAGTAATTCAGCATTTTGTGTGTGTGTGTGTGTGTGTGTGTGTGTGTGTGTGTGTGTGTGTGTGTGTGTGTGTGTGTGTGTGTGTGTGTGTGCGTGTGCGTTCCATTGATCATCTGAATTCATTAAGTTTCAGTAAGTATAAAAGTCTAATCTATAATTCACTAACCTATTAATTCCTTAACTTAAGGTTGGCCTTAAGTTAACACTGAAGAACTTAAGGCCAACCTTGAAAGGCAGGTGATGAAAACTGCCATCATCAGTGACCGGTACACCCCTGGATCTAACCATAAGACTGCAACCATTGTGGTGGAGGAAACAAAAATCATGGAGGGCCAGAATTTCCCAAGGCGCTGTGTTTTGCTCATGGGCATAATATATGCTCTCAATCTGAGCTAATGCAAGGATCTGAAATATACTTTTGAAGTTGTTCAGAAGCTGTTCCTTGACCTTGATGGAACCATCATTATGTTAAAGATGTTGACTCTGTTTCAAAAATTGTTAACTGTTTTGAATCCTGTATGTGTAACATTGATCTTAAAGGTGTTTGCTGCATTGTGTAATAGAAAGATGCAAGATCTTGTAAAGTTTGGAAAGGCATTGAAAGTTAACATTTACTGAACACTTGCATGGAAGTATTACTGTAACAAAATGTTTTCTAAGTAGATTTTTTTTACCAATTGAACACATTTGTTTCTGTGGTGTTAAATACATAAAGGCATATACTATAACTTGGCTGAGATGGTATAAATCTAAATTTCTGGTTATTTTCACTTTTTAAATACAAAGTGTTGAAATGCCTACAGTTAAAAAATAAAGTTTTTGTTAAAAAAATTTTTTTTGAATGAATTCCTTTCTTAAAAGCTATTACAATAAAAAAAATAAGAGAAAGCTAAAATGAGGATAATAATGATGAAAATCAGCAACTTAATATTTTAAATAATGAACTTAAAAAAAAAATTGTAATTGCTGTAATTAATTACATAACACTTAAAAATCATTTTAAATAATGTGGAAAAAGTAATTGGAGGAAGATAATTTTTATGAGTAAACAACTTAAAAATATGTTTTTAAGCTACCAAATATTACATAAATGGTAATTAAAATCACCTTTGATTATGGAGGAAAAGTTAATTCCCCTAACTCAATATAGTTTGTTGGTTCAATCTAATTTCAACATAAGTTATCGTAACTCAAAAAGAGTAATGGAAACTGTTGCGTCAATTTTTTTTTGTTGAGCTTAAACAATAGTTTTTAGAGTGCACTGCCAGTATGTCAAGACAAATATCCACACCTACTGTAAGGAGATAGTAGTCAGTGATTGTTAGAGACAATGTCATATTTATCACCGTTTAATAAAGTCCATTTTCTGAGTGATAGCAATCAAAAGGCTGTTGATGGTCACTGGGACATATGCTGACTCCACAATTGTCAGCATTTTGTTTGTGTTATAAAAGTACATAGTACAGTTTGTATCAGACACAATCACTATGATTGATGATTTACAATTAGAGTAATTTAAAAGTACAACATATATAGATTTGCCAACATCTTCTTCCCTCGGCTGCTTGCTTTAGGGGTTGCCACACTGGATCATCTGCTTTTAGCATGCAGCTCCTGTACGCAGGGCTCGAAGCAAAGAATAAAACAAAGCAAAGCTAAAAACAAACAAGCAAAAAACAAAACAAAAAAAACCCTTTCCACCTTATATATGTAACTACATCAAAGCAAAGCAAACAAGAGTTTGAGTATTATTATTGCTCTTTTCAGTTTTGATTTATATATATTTTTCTAATACTCTAGTTTTAAACATGTTTTTAAACAAGGAAAACGAACTACACCTTTTTAAATCACTGTCATAATTATTCCACAAGTTAACTCTAATCAGAAACACATCTATGCTTTATGTTTGTCCTTATCTTGGTTTTTTTTTTGTTTTTGTTTTTTTAAAGAAACCTGTTCCCCTTATGTCATATTGACTCTCTCTGACTTTAAACAGCTTCTGAGTACTGCGCCAAAGCAAGTTATTTTGTGCTTTATACATTATCTGTGCCATTTTATATTCAACTAAATCATAAAATTTCAGGGTATTCAAATTAATAAACAAAATGTTAGTTTGTTCTATATAACATTTTGTTTATTAATCTGAATACCCTGAAATTTTATGATGTGATGGCATGATGGCTTTTCTTTTGATCTGAACATTCACATTAAAATGTGAATTCTCTCACCTCAAGACATGTGTTTAGACAAATTGAATACTTGGTATTGACTACATCATAACATTTAAATGGTTGATCGCTCTAAATACCTTGGATTCTGAAATAACTACCCACAAGTGAATGTCAACACATCCACAATTCCAAAATCTTTTGATAAGTATTTATTCACGTTCACTTAATTTTCCCTCTCCTTTCATACTGTTTATGAAACAACAACAGCCATGAACAGTTCCAATATGACCAGAATACACCTAACCCGCAGTGCCCTGCCAACACATTTATCTAATATCCACATTCCTGTGTTGTTCCTGGATCAAGAGAAAAATGTTGGTCTAGGATCAACATTGCAACAGACAAATCAATGCCAAAACTTTGAGATTTTTGCTGAATTTGAATAAACTTAGAGTGGCGTTGGGCAGAAATACTGTGGGACTGGGCAAAAGTGACAGAAACGGGAGCGAGCAGTAGTGGTCACAAATTCAGCGGCGCTGGGATTTTAAAAATTGTTTTGCAAAGGACCAATAAAAAGAAAAAATTGACACAAACCATTACCTTTGCCTCCATCATATGTAGAAATAATGTGTAATTTGTACTTGTGCACTGAATCTATACAGAGACTATGGTGTAGCTTATGAAAGCGGCCAGCAAAGTTCTCTTTTCAAGTTCATCCATTCCCTTGCAGTCAATTTAGAAAATGGCAGCAGTAAAAGAAGTAGCTGGAAATGCCTAGGAAATGACAGTACTGATCTAGCCAATCACAGTCATTGTAGACTTCATCCACTCAGTGTTTAATTTAATTTCAATGGAGGTGCAGGCTCAGTTACTGAATTATGGCATTGAGTTTCAGGGAGGTTTGAAGTTATGCTGTACATTACCTGTGGTGCAGATTTAACACAGAAGCATGAATCTCACTTAAAATCATACAAATGTGGTAGTTGTGTGATATGATTTTTGCACTTTTATCAGGCACTATACATTTATCTTCTGCTGGTACCAAAGTACTTTTCATGGTTACATTTTTTAAGATATTGTCAAAATAGTCCTTAGAGTTTTGTTTTCTAAAAATCAAGAGAATGTAATTGAGGTATTTCAGAATACAGGGTGAGAGAGCAATGGCCTTATAAAGGCAAAAAAGTTACTGGATTCATCCTGAGGCTATAGAGAAGGCATTTGACTCTGTACTTTGCTTCTGTGCTGTTGTCTATCCCTGGGAACTATTTTTTACAGTCTCCCAGGTGAAGCCTGAGTACCCCTTCAGTGTGCAGCTGCAACAAGTGTTCAAACTCAGCCGGCATTGCGTGAAAAAACGTTTTAACCGGTACATCATCATAGTAGTGGTTAGTCAGGGTATAGAGGTCATATGGGTGATTACTAAAGGGCCAGAATCCATACAGATGTACATTTTCACACAATTCCAGGGCCATGCTAACCATAATGAATCCAGTGCTGAGCCGCCTTTCTTTCAGGCCTTCAGAGCTCCAGAATTGATCCAGACTGTGGAGGTACTGAGCGTTGGAGAAAACAGGTCGAATAGGGCTTTCAAAGTCCTCTATTGTATATGCAGCCCGCTGACACATAGCAGTATTCCTGCCAAAGGAGAAGGCAGGAAGGAGCAGCAGAGAGTTGCCGTACTTGTGCAGACTCTCCACAAATGGAAGGCGACGTCCAGTCAGCGCACCATACCTGTGCAAAAGAAACAGCTGACTTTGAGCAACAACGCATACATAATGTGAGGTGACAAGTAGGGATAGGAATCGAGAGCTGGTTCTCTAAAAGAACTAGTTCCCAGTGTTTGCCTATCAGTCACATTTGTTGTACTTGTCATCAGCTGTTTTAAGTTCATGTGCCAGAGGAGAAAAAAATAGCGGTGTGGCCTACAGTGTAGATTTGGACATTTAATTATTTTTTATTTAATTATTTTTTCGTTTTTATTGGGAAATACCTCAAATATATACAAAAATTTTAACAACAGCATGCAATTAAGTTGCAGAATGTAATGTCTTTGACATGCTGCTTAGCGGTGACTCAATGTGAAAACAATGAGGACCCAACGAGCCTCAATAGAGTTGATAAGAAATCAAATTGGAAAGTGATTCTGATAATAGAATCAGAATCGTTAAATTCTTATCAGTTCCCTTCCCTAGTGACAAGGAATTATTTCTTTTGCTCACTTTTGGAAAATGATGCTTGGATTTGCTGTCACAAGGCTAGTTTTGCTGCCAACATCTTTCTCATATCCATTTTCCAAAGGAGGTAAGTTGCACCTGAACAAACAAAAAAGTAGACACAGAAATGGTTACGTGGAATTTCCACTCTGGATTTGGTCTACATTGGACACTTTTCTCACCTGATAACAAAGTCAGCAGAATCAATCATTTTTCCACAGCCACTGTCAAACAGGATCCCACCATTCCCAACAACCGAACAAGTGTCCCATTGTTTATTTGAGAAAGGATTCTCCTGGAATAGACAGCGAAAGATAAGGCATTATGAAAACACATTTACATTGTTGCTGATTTCACATGTTGAAGGAAAAAGGATTTTAAAAAGACATTTTATTCTAGTTTTATAGTCTGATGCTTTTTATGCTTGCTATTGCTAATGATAGGTCTGTCGTTTTTATAGATTACAACCATGGGAATATTATATCCAAAAGAACAATGATCACAAAAGTGTATATAAATAGTCATAATTATTAGAAATTATTTTAAAAAAAGACAAATAACTTTGTTTATTGTGTGGGGTTTTTTCTCTTTTGGAAAAAAAAATTACACACAAAAGTAAATAGAGCTGAAACAGACTATATAAATACAGCGTCTTATAAATGCAATAGCTCCTCTAATGGACAGTGTATCAATTGGGATATGCTCCGATATTAAGCATCTCCAAATAAGATCATATTTAAGCTGTTTGGCCTTTTTAGCAGAGATGCAAAATGCTCCAGGCTTTTAATAACAATTTTGCTTAAATATGTTAACGGTACAGATTTTCAGACAGTTTCTCTCTTGTATGGCTCTGCAGACCGGTCAAGTTTGAGGCTTGAGGCAGACCAGACTACAAAACGTGTATAATTATATAATCACAAATGATGAATTATATTTGAGTTTCTTTCTGTGCAGCTATAAATTGATACAGAAAATTGTTCATCATAAAAATGTATGTTGTCATTGTTGCTTTTCAGTTTCATAACCATTTTGATTTTGAGGTTGAAAAAATTTCAATGCTAGGGACGATCGTGGCTCAAGAGTTGGGATTTCGCCTTGTAATCAGAAGGTTGCCGGTTCGAGCCCCGGCTTGGACAGTCTCGTCGTTGTGTCCTTGGGCAAGACACTTCACCCGTTGCCTACTGGTGGTGGTCAGAGGGCCCGGTGGCGCCACTGTTCGGCAGCCCCGCCTCTGTCAGTGCGTCCCAGGGTGGCTGTGGCTACAATGTAGCTTGCCATCACGAGTGTGAATGTGTGTGTGAATGGGTGGATGACAGGTTGTGTAAAGCGCTTTGGGGTCCTTAGGGGCTAGAAAAGTGCTATACAAATACAGACCATTTAGATGTCAGTAAATTGCAGATTGCAGTCACTTCAATTCTGTTTTCTTATTCCTCCTAGTTTGAGTGGATAATCCTTGTTATAACGGCTGCTATACAACAAACATGTTTTAGTCAGCCAAGTGATATCACAAACATTGAAATCAGCCTGAATCCCATAATTTTCAAGTGGCATATTTCTTCTGCTGTTTGTGTAAAAATCTGTATATTTTAACCTATTTGAACCAAGAAGGCTGACAGAGAAAGTTCTATTTGCCAAATAAGACTGAAACCAATTAAGTGCAGTGCCACCAATACCCACTACATCATTTAATCGAGAAATTAGAATATTGTGGTCTACTGTGTCAAAGGCAGCAGTTAAGTCAAGCAAGACCAGAACATTGTGGTTACCAGAATCAAATGCCAGTAGGATGTCATTAAAAACCCTTAATAATGCAGATTCTGTGCTATGTATTTAGTTATAAATACTATATACACCATATACACATGCAGAACCCAAGAAAATCAAATGAGATAAAAAAATAAATAAATAAATACTGTTCACACTTTTTCAGGTTAGAACAGCACAAACAAAATTATCTCCAAAAGCTCATTTCAAAAGCAAAAGAGAGTTCAGTTGAAGATACAAAAAAATAGAAAAGTTGCGAAATAATCACTGTGTCAGTCAAATAAAACATAAGAGAACCAATGAAGATATCAAAGAAGCAGCACAAACAGAGTTTCCATGAATGAAAATGAACCTACCTTCAAAAACAAGTCGAATAAGTCCTTGTTCACCTGAAGAGTCCTCTTTTCCCCACTGTAAACAATATTCGATCCTATAGGAGTATTGTTCTGTGTCACAATGGCGTTGTCAAAGCCATTGCATGCAACTCTCAGATTAGTTCTGTAAAACAACAAACACTCAGTTAACACTGACTGACTTTTTACCAGATGAGTAGGTTCATACACTTCTGATGTTGCTGCATGTTTAACTTATGTTAGTAGTTATTGCCAACAAAAGGAAAGGTCAGTAATCTGTTTCTGAATGTCATGGCAAGGAACAATATTTTTTTCTGTTTATCATGTTCAATGGAAAGATAACACTCGACAGAGAGATAACATGGAAGGACACCTACAGAGAAGGGTGAGCAAACAAAAGGTTATTTGCTCACCTGTTGTTTGATCTTAACTATCCAACACCATCTTGTTAAGATAGTTAAGATCCACAGTTAAACAAAGGAAGATGAAAAAAGGAGCAAACAAAACAGTTAGATCCAGTAAAAATAATAGCATAAAAAAGTTAACCCCATATGTTACTAGAATTTTCTCATTTTATTTTTTAGGGTTTAGATTAGTGACTACCACCACTGCGAGTGTTGACTCCAAAAGCTGTAAGCAATAAAGACAAATGCAACTCCTGATAATGTTTTATCCAGCTCAAAACCTCTCCATTATATACTTATAACATCATTTGTCCATATGGCAAATATCTCTCTGCTCTTTGTTGTGCCATCAGTTTTCTTACAGTTCCTCTGTCCTAAACTCCTTGTGCGTCTTTACTCTTTCTTTCTTGTCTGTAGTTGATTCAGTTCATATAAAAGGTGTATATATATGTATATGTATATATGTATGTATGTATATGTATATATGTATGTATAAACCAGCCCATCATTATCATTTCCCCTCCGGTTGATATACTGGATATCATAGCATTATATCTCATATGCAAGACTAGGCTCCTGTTTGCTGTATGGTAATCTTTTTACATCCAATTCGTATTCTTCATAGAAGAAATATTAAGCATTAGTACTTACCTGAATTTTAAGTAATTTTTCTCGTTCTTCTTCCAGGTTTGATTGTAACGCTGATGTACTTTGTCAATGATTTCCCTGTGACACACACACACGTCCAAACACAGTCAGCAGATCATACCTGTACAGCTGACATGACTTCATTTTTGATGATGGCATAAACAAAGAGGTTTCTCAGGGAAACAGTGTGACAAATTATGCTTTTTCTCACTTGCAGGGTTTGCAAATTTCTGACAGCTTTGGGGCATGTTTCTTTTGAGGAGGTGGTTGGAAAGGTTCCTCACAACTGCAAAAGAAAATATTTTGTTGACAGATCAGACAGTTGAAAAATGCAGATACTGCAGTTAGATCTGCACAACAGCTAAGATTACATATTACAACAGCATTTTTTTTACTATGGTCGGTTGAGCATGATGTCAAAGTGCTGTTTGAAATTCAACATTGTTGTGCGTTTCTTCGTTTTTTCATTTTTGTTTCGTATGTATTAAAACACGATTCTTTGATCCCCATGATAGAACAGAGAAAACCCGACTCATAGTGTCCAAAATATTTATAATTCTTTTTTTTCAACCATCGTCCGGAAGAAAGAGCCCTGCACAGCCCCAAAAGCCAGTTGCAGAAACTCTAACATTAGAATTTAAAAACGTCTCACATATAGGTGTTATTTTGGTACTTTACACGTCACACAGTTTTGATACAAACACTCCTTATATGGTACAAGTTCCTCTTTTCTGTCTGGCTTCCTGTATTTATTAATATACTTGTATAGCTCTACACTAACTTCCTGTTTTTCAGTCTGGCTGAGCACTTAGTTTATGAATCAAAAGTGGCCTTGCTTTACAAACCTTCATTATTAAAGTACATAAAACAATATAATAAGAAAATAAGCACTAAGGATATATTAATTACGTGACAGTTCTCCCCCTTTTCGTGTTTCCTAAGAAACACGACATAATTTCTAATTTATCCCATTAAGTTTACTTGCATGTTAAAAAGCTAAAATATAACAAAAGAGATTATGCTAAACAAAATGAAACCTTTGAATTGCCCAACCCTGTCTGTCCCCTCAAAGGGTTGTATGTTTTCAATCTTTCCTTATTATTTTGTCATAATTACTTCTATCCACAACAAATAAATCAAGCTCTAAGACAGCACCTGTGAAATGTGAAATATCCTAAATCTACTTCCTACACCCCCTTTTTACCCAGAATCCCAATTTAAACCCACTTCTGACTTCCCTCAGTGCTCACTGTAAACTCCAAAAAGATACAATTAGCTTTTTCTGGTAAAAGGTCCTAGATTATTTTGTCAATCTTTGGAAAACATCCTCTATAGAGCTAACCCGCTTCATCTTTAAAACTTAGTCCTGGTTTCTCCGCCCCCTTTAACAGGTCGCGCATATCCGGACCGAACACTGTGTTTGGGCAATTTACATAACATAGAAATTCTACAAACAATTCAATCTACACAACAAATTGTCTGAAACTGGGCGATTCTCTGTGCTCTGTGCTTCTTTTGAGTCCCCCTTTTCTCTGGTTGGTTCCGTTCGGTCTGGGGCTTCCAGGATTCTCGCCACCCCTGTGGTTGCTGTGGTCCTGAAAGCTTCTCCTGTAAAGGATAGAAAACAAAACGCCTCTCTCTGCTACACCTCAATAACCTACTGTGTTCATCTATTGTTCCCTTAATTATTCAAAGTTGGTTCAAAATATCATGTTCTGGGCTCTATCCTTTATATTAACTTTAGTTAATCTTTACTTAATCTTAATTTACTTACTCTCAATGTTCTTTATGTGTGTTAGCAACACTTTTAATATTATTAAACACACCCAGGGTCAGATATACACCATCACCATATCAGCATAAAAACAGACAGAGACATTCCTCTTTCTGTCACATTCTTCCATACATGGCAATTTGTTTCACCTCCCTTATGATTCCTTGGGACTTACAATTTCTTGACTCTTCTTCTGTCACTTGTTACTAGGCAGCTCAAATGCAGTTAGAAGCTAAATGAATTCCAGGCCCTCCGCCTGGCCTAAGTTTAAATCATTTGTGTTTGTAAGCATGTATGCGGTTTAACCTTCTATTGCTCCAAGGCACTTACACAATAGATCGTCGGGTCATCGCTCCAAACGAAGCTTAAGACCTTGAATAGACTGAGCAACAACTCTTTCATGAGCACGATCTGCAATGTGTGTATACAATGATTATAGCTGCACCTTTAATAAAAGTTTTAGTCTAATGCCAGTAGCTTTAAAAAACATTGTAATGCAATGTTAAAGCCTATATTGCAGCAGTAAAATATTTTCTTTATTCCCAGGATTATCCTTCCCTCTCTTGACCTTTCAAAAAGAAAGGTCACCGCACTTTGTGTCGTGTCACTCCTCGGCCCATTCGGTCCATCAATGGCATCATGGCCACCGTAACTACCGCTCCGGGGTCCACTGCCCTCGTTATTACCTTTTCCAGCAGTCCTCTGGCACAAGGAATGAGACAACAATCGCAGGTGACCAGTATCCCTAAAAAAAAAAGCGGCAGTAGAAAACATTGCAGACACGAAAAATCCCGTCCATTTCCCAAACACGGAGGTCATCCAGCTGTCCAGCGGATTGTCGATTCCCGAGTGTTCATGCATGGTTTTAGACAGAGTTTTCAGCCCCTCCAGAACTCGGGTTACTGAGCCATCTGGAGCAGTATTGTTCAGGATGAAGGTACAACACGTCTCCCTCTAGTACCAGCTCTTTTAATAATTTACTGTTTTAAAGGGAAAAAACCTTGGTCACTTGGACAAGTCTTTGTTATTCCATAACTGCATTTTCATATGAAAAGTCTAGCGATCCCCTATTTTTACTCATAAATATTACTTGGGTTGTAATTATTTTCCTCTATCAAATTTAATTTACTGCTACAGTGGCCTGCTTTTGTTAATAGTAACATGAGTAACATCCAACATTTTCTCCCCTTTAACATTTGGTATTTCCCCACTATATAATGTACTACCATAATCTACACCCAGTCAATAAAAACAGAATTTTCTCAAAGCAAACATCAGCAACCCAAAATCAGCAGCCCCAGAATTAAGTCTTCCGCT